GCTGAACAGGCTGCCGATGCCCTGCCACACGATGACATGCTCAGTCGGCTCTCATACCTCCGACGACATAGAGACTAATCGAGAACTGTTGTCGCTACCTCCTTCTAAACAGCGCAAATACTTTTAAATCCTTTTAGATTTGATGCAACATTTTTACATTTGACATGAACTTGAATACCGCCACCTACTAATTGCGGATGCCACCTTTTTCCAATTTTCTGAAATGTGGCGAAATTTTTCAGTTATTTGCCCGACATTCACAATGACAGCTGTAATTGTTATCAGTCACGGGAGGTGAGTGCCCTGGCTGTTAGCTACTATGTCTGTTTGCGAAGAATTTCACCCGGGTATTGCCAACTTTCTGCTTCAAGTGATAGCTCTCATTGCCTTTTTAGCTACCGAAATGTCACAAGTCAGATACTCAGAATTATGTATATTATATTAATTCTACATTTTTATAAAAATAGAATATTCTACGGATTGGCATCTTTCTAGCGCGTTTCACTATGGCTTCTTTAAATAAGTAATTGGGTTATAGTACGAAAGAACCAATTCAATCGAAATAGTGTGTCTATTTTGAATTAAATTTAAACCACTTGAAAAAGTTGTTATTACTCATAATGTTTATGAGAATGGAATATACGTACATATGTATGTGTAACGATATCGAAGTACGTATGTGAAATGGTTCAGACAAGGTAGGAATGGGGAAGCTGTGACCTGAGTGGGTATGGCGGGGTAGAAGTGGCCAAAGCTAGGTGTTTAACACGGGGTACGCGTGTGTAGGTCTAGGTATGAAAGGATAAGCGGGGTAAGGCGAGGTACAAATGAGGTAAGGTGTTTAGTTATAAGTTAGTAAATTTGAGGCGACTCACATCTTCGTCGTGGTCGAAGGCATTGAAGACGTCGTAGGGCAGGCATGAGAGCAGGTCGATGAGGAACCAGGACTTGAAATAGTTTTTACGGATGACCTTAGGGTCGCTGACCACCTCGCCGCCGGGGCCGACGAAGGTCGTGTGGAAGTTGAGTACGATGTCGATGAAGAAGACGACGTCCACGATAGAGTCGATGACGAGCAGCGACACGTCTTCGCTCGTCTTATTTTTGAATGCGACGTTGTACGGCACCATGATGGCGGTGTAGAATGTCAGGCAGAGGATGATCCAGTCCCAGATGGCCTTGAACGCGCAGTAGTGCAGCAGGATGTGCGGCGGCGTCTTCGGCGCCTCCTGCCGGTACTGCGGCAGCACGTCGCCCGACAGCGACAGCACCTGCCACACGCCGCGCGCCGCGCACCACTACGGTGTAGCACATGGTGTAGCACGCGGCGTAGCGCGGCCCGCCCCGACCCCCTGCATGCGCTGCGTCACGGCGGCATGCCGAGGGGGGCGGGGCGGCCACAGAACACAGGTTATACCAAACTAATTCGGGTCATTAGAGAAATCAATCAGAGAGTTGTACACTTATTTATTGAATTTTAAAATCGCTGTAGTAAAAGTGCGTCTTCATAACTCCTTCCGACAAAACAAACTCCTAAACACGTACTTAAAAAGATGTATCGTAATTTTAAATAACTAATAATATCTCATCGTTAATCTATATCTATATCTACTCGTATATCCATACTAATATTATAAAGAGGAAATATTTGTATTTTTGTATGTACTTGATTCACGCAAAAACTACTAAACCGATTTTATAAATTCATTCACCATCAGAAAGGTAATGTGTCTGCAACATAGGCTATATTTTATTATTACTGATGCTTAGGAACTATCAGTAAACAACGTGTTTCTGGACGCCGTCGTTACAAATTAAATAAACTTTAACTTTTCTCGGATCTCGCTGCGTAAACCGGTAGAGGAATATAAAAATGATATATGAAAGCATTCTAGATCTCAAAACGTTCTATAGGAAAGTCTGCAATAGCATACATCTAACGGTTTTCTTACAATAACCACTTTTTTTTACAAAATTAATTAAAAACCGCACGCCATTTGCGGCGTTTTTTTATTGGTTTCAATATTAATCCTAATCTAAATAAATGCGTTTGTTATCAGGAGAATTTATTGTAGAATAAAATTGTTCTTTACCGTATTTAAATTGGACTAATAGTTTAGAAGATATCGCGAACACAAACAATCAGGGTAACCGAAAAATCAGGGCACAAACTAAGTACCGGGCTTAGGAATTTGGAATCTTGCGGTAGATTTTTGTTTTTACGTACATTACTACTAAGTTAATACTTTTGGTTAAAAGTTGAAAAAAGGAGCGAACGTAAGTTTTGAACTTTCAAATTTCACGCGGACGAAGTCGCGGGCAACAGCTAGTAATTATTAAAAATTAAGATACAATGTTTTGTTTACAGCTAATGATGTATTTATTTTATTGAATATAAGTAAATTCGATATCCGAATTAGTAGCCCGTTATCGTTCGAGAATTACACAGATAAAGTAATCATTTATTCGTCATCACTCGGGTTTTGATTAGATTTATGCAGTACACAAATACAAGGAACTTCAGTCGGCGACGCGGCCGCCAGCCGGGAGGCCGGGAGGCGCGCCGCCGCGCTGCGGCAACCCGAACACAACGACTAGCAAATACCGCAAGGTCGCAAAGTGACAGTAGAGATGGAGGTGCGGCTACAGACGAGAAAAGCGGTAGAAAGGAGTGCGGGCGGTGCGTACATGGTGCGCGTGGGTACTGACATGCGCGAGCTGGCTTTGCCGCGCCGGCTCCTTGAGCGCCGGCAGCGCCGACACCAGCACGGAGCGCGACCGCGTCACGCTGCGCGCCAACTTCGCGAACTTCGACAGCCCTGTGCATTACCACACTCCGTTACCCGGTTGCCCTCATCCTGACTTCCCATTTTTTTTTATCTATAGGTCATAATTCATTTAGAATCTATTTATTG